AAAAAAATGTATAACATCAACAACAAGTTATAATGACAACAAAATAACAATATGAAAACAAAAATGCTGTCTGTCTGCCCTAATCCGTGTGAATGCAGCATCATTCAGGGCCGGCTGTTAGTTTTTGAACAGTGTTATTGAAAGACAAATTACTGCTCAGTTGAATGTCAGTTTTTTGCTTTGACGTATATCTGCATAGCTTGATAGTGGGTTGTGAGAAAAATGTTTTGTGTGATTTGGTTGAGCTGACCCTGTTTAGCAGTAAAGCTAAAACGCAGTAGTTCTGTAGATCTTCCATGAGTTAAATCAGTTGAATAATAATAGCAGCCAGCAAGACAGACAGGTTAAGGTCAATTTAATTTTGTGCTCCATCTACTTTTACCACACTATAAATCTTGGTGCCAAACTGCAGGATAAAGTAAATGACGTATCAGTATCTTAATTAACCTTAAGTGTAAAGTATTTACTTAGATACAGGATAGACATTCCCTGGATTAGATACAGTTTCCCTATGGAAAAAAGGGAAAACACAGGAGTCAACCATATAATCAGATGCTGTATATGTTGTGCTGCGTACTGCATGTGGTCCATTGACAGTATCCTGTCCATTGTTGCTGTCACTTAATGTGGAACCACGATGCTCCTGAACTGATTTGTCATCACCATCCAAATAATGGTATCTTTATGGACTGACACACTTCAGTTGGAACTTGCTCTGTGGAACTTCTTTTTGACACATATTTACGGTAGTAGCATACCATTCTTAGACTGAATGGTTGAGGACTAATGCGTGCACTTTTACACTACCAGTTTGTGATCAAATGTAAGATACAATTATTTGTGCTTTGGAAATCTTGGATTATGACTGAATGTTTTTTACATATTCAGTGATTAAAAAAAAATATATATACATACTTTAGATTTGAGTTACAGTTTCATGGCTTCTGTTATCTCTTTATTCAATCAGCAGTGTGTTTGCAGTGTGTAAAATTAACTTTTCTCACTCCTATATTCTGCAATAGACCTTTTCCACAGCCGCCATTATGAAGTGAAATAGTAGGGTAAACACAGGTGTTACCAATGATACTAATTGGGGTTCCGTTCCATTTAGTGTAGCAGAGCCTTTCCAGTGAGACAACATGCACAACAGCAGCACCCTGACTCCGTTTGACCTGAATGAAACTGAACCTTAATTAGTATCACTGGTACTGTAAAATGTATGCTACTGTAACAGGCTTGGATGACGCTCTCCCTGAGACAATCCTGACAACAACCAAGGCAAATTTGACCTATCTGACAAGTTGCAAAACAAGTAAATAAATCAGTGTCCACAGAGATAATGTGAAAGTAAGTACATTCTACAACTGTACTGCCATTAAAGCCACCTGAAAGAGCACTGATATACATAGTGTACTCTTTTTCACACTGTTGAATATATTAGCCTAAATGAGCTGAAACTCAATAATATATTCACTGAATGATTGGTTTTTGGCTTTGTTTAAAGACTAGAGAAGAGGGGATCGAGGTGTTTTTCGACAGTGCCTGTTTCTCTTTGTTCTCCACATAATAACCGGGATGGCGGCTTGTTTTGATCATGCTGTAACAACTTCAAAATCAAACCAGCATGAAACCAATACTGATTTACTTTTTTTTGCCAGTGTGATCGTGAAATAGATCTTAAATTGCATTCATAATGGTCTGAAAAAGTCTTGAACCTGTTAAAACCTGCAGAAACCCAGTAAATAAGAGTAATGAAAGAAGGAACAGCCGCAGTGAGCAGATTAGAAGCTGCAACAGAAACCATCAAACCTCCTAGACTTCACCACAACGTGCACACCTTTCACTGTGCTGTTTGGAAAAGCATTCATACAGAGACTCTGATCGCAGTGACTGATAGTCAGCTATGGTGCCTGAGTCCTAGTGGTTGCATTCGTGACTCTGCAATAAATAATCGTGTTGTTTGCCTAATAGATTACTAATCACATCCTTTGTGTGTGTCTGTGTGCAGGTTTCTGCTGGAGGCTCTGGAGGACCTGGACAGCAGTCTGAAGAAGCTCAACTCCAGATTGTTTGTAGTCAGAGGGCAGCCCACTGATGTTTTTCCAAGGCTTCTAAAGGTCTGTGTCTGTCAGGGGCCACAACTTACACCATGCAAACAGCAAAGGCTCCTGATTAAAAGAACCACACAATACAGGCTGATGATTGTCAAACTGTTTCTTTCCCCAGTGAGTGTGAAATAGACCTCTGCCTGGTGCTAGCATCCACTCTTTGAATGGTTTAAGGAACGTTACCATGCTTTTATTGTGGATGTAAGGCCCATCTGGAACTTTAACCATAATCAGAGAATAAAAAAACTCTATTAGCTGAAATTCTCTAGACAATAATGTTACTGATGTCGTGTGCACAGGAGGCAATCCTTTTTTGTGAAGTTTGAGTCAGCACCATCAGACCTGTAGCAAACACTGTCACTCCTGCTAGCTACAGTAGCTGTCTCACTGTCTCATAATAGGCAAATGTTGAGGGTGAACACAACATCGATGTATCATCATATTTAAGTGGATGTAGTAAACTTGCTTGTTTACACATCACATTTACACACACACAGAGCAACATTAGCATTTACTTGGAGTTGTGTTCCTGACCACCTGGTAATATTCACTCTTCTTGTAGCTCTGTGTTTGGTCTCCACCAACTCCATTTAATTTCCTATGATTTCTTCACAATAAAAGTCCCTTTTTTTTTTTTAAGCAACTTAACATGACTCCAGAGCTGAAAGCCAACATGAATCAGTAAAATAAAGCAGATATCTATGTAGAAGTAGAAATGGGGACACAGGACAGAAAGTCATCTTTAAACCACAGAGTTTCTGTTAGAAGCTACAGAGGTAGAGTAGAGAGCTGAGCACTCAGACCTTCAGTGTAGAAAGTCCGGCTTGGCGCAGGTCTGCAAATCTCGGCACGTTTAAACTGGTAATTGAAACGTAATTCAGCACACCATGGTTTACCCCGGGCAGAAGTGCCAGTGGAAAAGCCCTATCAGACTCCAGCTCGCACAGATGCACCTGTAACCACACCTGTAGTAATAATGATAGCAGGATGAACTTAACACGCCCTGTTGTGGCTTTGTTTTTTTATAGTGTCTATTCTTAGAGGAGTGACAATCACAGCAGCTGAGGCGGAGCCAAGAAACCTTATTATTACTATTCCATTATTATGTTTTTGTGACTGAGCCCAGTTATCTGATTGACACTGAATACACACTGTATACACTTTACAGACTGTTCACACAGCACTGAACCATATTGGAGCAGCTGCAGATGATGTTAACATTCATGAGGAGATTCCCTGTGGGGATTTAGTTCCAGGCATGGAGGAGCAGCTCTCACCATCTCTATACAACAGCCCTTACATAACGCACTCCTGCTTTTGCATTATATGCTATGGAAACCCAATAGTGTGCTCTGCAGGTCTTCATTCCAGCCACAAACAGGGTCAACTACAGTAGCTCTGCCAAGTATTATACCACAGAGTTAAACATGCTTCTGTACAGTTTGATTAGAATAAAAACACTTGACAATGCTGAGGATAACGCAATAGCTCTCCTCCTCTCCTCCCAGCCTTCATTACCTGTAATTAGAAGATGATTTCATATGACATATGAAAACAATATATCAGCCCACCAATTTTTAATCAGATTCTGTCTCTTATGGTGCTTTCACAGAAGCAAACTCTGCTGCGTCTGCCCATTTGCTGTGGTTCATTTTGGCTGGTGTAAAATAGGGGGTGGGGGGCGATCTGGCCAAAAAATATAGTCATAATCTATTTAATCACAATCACAATCCACAAACTAAATGACTAAAATTTCTCAATTTTGAAATGCCCTGTAGACCATAGCCAGACTTGAAATAGTTTGTTAATCCTTCACCTTTAAAACACAACATTGCATTAAAGATACTACACAGGTTTCAAAATGGTGATTAAAACCAGGGTTTAAGTTGTAAACAGAAGCTAAAAGATAACATAATCGTAAAATAACACTTTTCAGGTACTCATAACTCAGTTGCATTGTGTCAGCCACATCACTCTATTGATTTGCTCACGTGAGGTTATGTGAAGTTCAGAAACAGAAGTTACCATTATTGATTCTGCTTATCGGTCTGGTTGTTTTAGATTCCCTTATTGATTCCTGATTGACCTACACCGGTTTTCATCATCAATGCAACTGTTTATTATTTCTGAGTCTGAATGCAGTATAGAAACAGAGTAGAATTATAGTAATTTGACTTTTGTCATGAAATAAAGTCACACTTTGTATCATGTCTTCCTCTGCCATGAATCCTTCTTGTTGCAAGTTTCCAGCAGCATAGACGCATTAAGTTGCAATGTGCTGTCAGAAAAACATGCCGGCGTTGATGAAAGGAATTTATAAGCTGATGGATCGGACAATTTGGAACCAGTTCTCGATTCCCATCCCTGACCATGATCAATGTTCTTCTTTCTTTAGGAGTGGCAAGTGACCAGGTTGACGTTTGAATATGACTCAGAGCCATATGGGAAGGAGAGGGATGGAGCCATCATCAAGATGGCCCAAGAGTTTGGAGTGGAGACTGTTGTCAGAAACTCACACACCCTCTACAACCTGGACAGGTTTGTAACACACACACACACACACACACACACACACACACACACACAATACAGACAATGGGGATAACATCAGTCACATCTGCAAATACCTAAGGTGTTTACCTTTAAAGAGATTATCTCCCTCCATTTAAAACCCTTTACAAAACAGGGATACAGTCAGTAGCACTAGCCATTTTTGTCATGGTGCAACAGGCAGGGCAAGCAGCACTCCAACCACCACAATAACGGGAACAACAAGACTTTTTGTCTCCCCACTTTCAGGTATTATGGTAAGGTCTTCAACTGTGCACTGAATCAACTGTCAGCTGACATTACTGTCTTTTTGAGGCTGTCTGGCTCTGTGATCCGCACAACGTCATATCCCACCGAGAGCGTTCCAGAAGTGGAGAATTGCCTGCCATACGTTGCTGACCTGTGCGTTTTTGTCCTTTTTTAAAAAGGACACAAAATGGTGGTGTGTTTTTCCACTTCCAAGATGAATTTTACGATATGTCATTTCACAGTATGAGAACGTAGAGCCGAAAAAGTGTTGGATTAATGTGATCATGCGGATGGCTTTTTTATGCATTTCTGTCGTTATTGTACTGATAAAATCCTCAAAGATTGAAACGCTTGTGATTGGCTAAGCTGTGACAGAGCAATGAGACCAGTGATGTTAGGGTGATATTAATGACCACACCCGGGGTCTTACATCTTTTCTTACATCTGGAAAACAAGCTTTGTAGGCCAGGGAATCTAAGCAGCAGCACAGTACAGTTGCTTTTGTGATTTGGATATTGCACTTGGCCATATTGCAATCTTGAAATTTTTTCCTAAAACAATATTTTAATTGAATTTTGCATGTATTTCACACATACAGATGGAAGGTGATAATAATTAAACAATGAAGAATGTACTCATGGTTTTTACAAAGATGAAAGGAAAATAAATATAACATTTCACATACTTAGCATGATAACAAAGACAAATAACACTACATCACATAAGAGAAAAAAACAAACAAAAGGAAAAACAAGAACAATATAGAAACGCTCTGCCATTTTTATGACTGCGCACCTTGACGTCTAAGACACTCCATTAAAGGTTTCCACACTTTTTCAAAATCTCCTACCTTTCATCTGGTTATGTAAGTCAGTCTCTCCAAGTGCAGCCATATTTCTAATGCACAATCGCACAATTAAGCAGCAGTAGCAGCAGTGAGAACAGCAGAAAGCAAGCCAACACAAAGTGTCCCATAAACTCTCACCATCTAGAGTCACTTCATCATGAACCCTGTTAAAAAAGGAGGAATGAAACTGGGAAAATGTGTCAATGCTAGGCCTACCTAAATGATATGACAGTTTGTGAGCAAGTGCTGTGTTCAGTTGCACTTGCTTGTGCATTAAACCATCATGTGGACCATCAACTGCCATGTCAGTACAGCTGAGAGATCAACCATCAGTTTAGAAAATCACCAATAACCCGCAACATGCTTAAGAAGATGAGAAGATGCTTAATGAAAATCTGAACAATCCAAACCCCTTCTTACAGCATGACATGCAGCAGAGCCCTCCAGTGATCAACTCATGTCACTACAGGTCACACCACTGTCCATGTGCTGAGGCCAGGTGGCAGCATGAGGAGGAGCAGAGGGAGTACCAAAGGACTTTGCTATATACAAGATGGAGAGCAATCAGACCAGCACAGTATTACATAATAAATATTACTGGCCTGTGTGTGTGTGTGTAGAGATATATATGGGTGGATGAGGCGGCAGGGAGCTTAACTTTGTGTTTGTGTGGTGTGTGTGTGTGTGTGTGTGTGTGTTGTGTGTGTGTGTGTGTTGTGTGTGTGTGTGTGTGTGTGTGTGTGTGTGTGTTGTGTTGTGTGTGTGTGTGTGTTTGTGTGTGTGTGTGTGTGTGTGTAGCTGCAGGGTTTATATTGGTAGTGGTGGAGCTTACTGTGCTCATTTGTAGTAGTCACAGTAAATGGACCAATAGGAAGCCAACCCTGCTGCAAATCCAGCAGGCAATGATCCAGAACAGGGCCTCACAGATATAGACAAGTTGTATAAGATAGAAACTATAAATACAGAGCTTTGCTGTCAGCTGCACCAGCTAAACAAGCTGAAAAGGATGAAATACAAAATAGGGTCAGTCTTCTGATTAGTAATTGAGGTATAGTTCAGTGATCAATTTTGGTTTAAAAAAAAAGATAGAAAGACACTTTGGTTTGGAGGCTTGAAGATAGTTGATCATTGAGTCTCAAAGCGTCAACAATCAACTATCTTCTTTGGCTCTGATTGGTTGTTTTTGTTCAGGCCTGGTGGATTCTTGTAAATGCCATTAGGAGCACTAAGAGGAGCCAGAGTTTGTTTTTTGGCTCAAATCAGCTCATAATCAGTTCAGTTGTATATTAAATACAGTGTTCAGTGAATTTGAACCACAAGCATCATATCAAAGGTTTAGTCCAACATTTACCTTCTATAAAAACATTTTAGACTTTTTTTGTGTCTGTGTATTTGAGGATTTAAACAGAACATTGCCATTAACCCAACCTGTTACATAAACTCTGCTGTATGTTGCTCTACTTTTCTATCTTTTCTGTATTGGTCACAGGATAATAGAGATGAACAACAACAGTCCTCCTCTGACCTTTAAGCGCTTTCAGACCATTGTGAGCCGACTGGAGTTGCCCAGGAGACCTCTGCCTCCCATCACCCAGCAGCAGATGGACAAATGTCGCACTAAAATAGCCGACAACCACGACCAGCTATACAGTATACCATCACTGGAAGAACTAGGTATGCATGGTTGTTTTTAACACTTGAATTGCTGCTGCTGCTGCTGCTGCTGATGTTCTCTAGGTATATTGATGCTGAATATAGATACAATTGTTTATATTCTATTGATGCCCAAAAACACTGTATCGATTTTTGTGTTTAAACCCCCACCTGCCACCCAGCAGTGTTTTAAACGTAAACTGAGCGTATCATATCACCAGATTCCTGCTTATACAACCGTGGTTAGCACTTGAGCAAGGTTTGGTTTATTAGATAAAAGCTGCTTTGTATTTGACCTTGTCTGCATGTGATTATGTTTTCCAGGTTTCAGGACGGAAGGTTTACCTCCAGCTATTTGGCAGGGAGGAGAGTCAGAGGCCTTGGACAGACTCAACAAACATCTGGACAAAAAGGTAAACCAGAAGCTGAAATTAAAACCCTGTTACTGGTCTAATCCACAACATTTTGAGTTTGCTGTCCCTTCCCTAATTGCAAGTACTTTAAAAATGACAGTATCTCAGATGATCACTTGAATGCCTTCACTGTGTCTGTCTGTGTAGGTGTGGGTGGCCAACTTTGAGCACCCTCGGGTCAACACATGCTCCCTGTATGCCAGTCCTACCGGCCTCAGCCCCTACCTGCGCTTCGGCTGCCTGTCCTGCAGGGTTTTGTACTACAACCTCAGAGAGCTCTACATGAAGGTACAGTGCATACCTGCTGCCCAGCCTCAGAGATATAACTCTTTTTGCTTTTTGCTCCTCTGACAATTTTAATAATTCATTACTCTCCTTGATGATCAAATTTTGAACTCTTTAATTGTCTGTTGTTCCTCCCCTCCTGTGCTCTCCAACAGCTCCGTAAGCGTTGCAGTCCTCCTCTGTCCCTGTTTGGCCAGTTGTTATGGAGGGAGTTCTTCTACACAGCCGCCACCAACAACCCAAACTTCGACCGCATGGATGGAAACCCCATCTGTGTCCAGGTGGGCCTTTGCACCACTCAGTTTAAACAAGAAGGAATAACTGTTACTTAGGTCATACATTTGTCAGCACTCTCTGGCCTGTAGATATGACGGCAGCAGCTGTCTTACATAAGGGTGTTTGTGAGTCAGACACTTTATATAAAGGGCAACGACTTGTCATGCACTGTGGTGCATCTGTTAACTGAAATTGAAAATGTAACACACACAATACATTTGTGGTATAGTGAATTTATTTAAATACAAAGTACTGTATTGGATGCATTATGTTAGATTCAATGGAATTCAAATTTTAAACAGGGTTCAAGAGACATGCAGCGGTTTTTCAAGGTGAATGTAATGTAACACTGTAATGTGACAATAAAGGCCAGAAATCCCATGCTGATAAAATAACAGTAGAACATTATGAATATGCTGATATTTATTTTAAAATTGATGCCAAAAAACAATACAAACTCGCTAATCACACCAGCATCCCTGAAAAACAGTTCCACCAACTGCCATTTTAGAAGCTAAAGAGCCGAATAACAAACATAACAATCATTAATGGTACTCATTTGAATGGTATTATCCTGCTTTTTATTATGCCACATGCCAAGGAAATGCCATATGTAATCAAATTATCTGTAACATTTCCACATTAAACAGTGTATAAACTCTAGCTCTATGTTCTATATGTAGTTGATTCAATCAATAATCTATAATCACTAAACAGTGTATAAACTCTAGCTC